TTTTTACGCAATTAAAAAAACTTTGCAGGGATGATATCTAATGGCTTCTATGTGTAAAAGCCCCTTCTTTAAAATCACCACCCAAGTAAGCGGAAATTAGCAAAAGCATTTTGAAAATGAAATATTATTTGATGATATTTAATTTTTAAAACATAAGATAATTCAAAAAAAAAATATTTATATAATTCAAACAATTTGATCAAAGGAAATAAAAGGAAACAGGGGAGGTATCAATTTATTGATTTATTGGACTTTGTATTCGAACAAAGGGTCAGTTATATCTTTACTTACATAATAAGCAAAATCTAAATATGGTAGTTTATGATGAAAGAAGGAGTTTCTTCCTCTAATGCTGTGGGATTCGGGGCGGAGCGTTCGAAGTTGTGCCTTCTGGGTTTGTTTATTTAATAATAATTATTTTTTTTTTTTATTCCCCCGGTCTTTTTTAATTTAGGTTACTCTTCGGGTTGACGTATATGGGTTGAGGATCATCCTAAATTCAGCCAATCAAAATCGACTATGTTTTAGTATACGCTATAAATTTTTTATCGTTAAATTTTTTTAGAGTCTCGTAACTAATAACCAAAACACCACCATAACTAATACTCAATAGATATAATATATGGATAAAGAAAACAAAAGCCTAAAGTGTGTCAAGTGTGGCAGCTTGTTTTCGACAAAATGTTGGAAAATTACCAAACAACCCAGAACAACGCATAAGGAGATTTACTTTGTCATAAATATTATAAGTGTTATTTAAGGAACCCGGTAACAAAATCAAAACAACAAATAAAAAAAGCATCATACTAATCTGCCAATGAAGAGTGTTAATTCTCAACCTCGGGATTTAAGAAGCACTCATATTGCTATGCCTATAGATGTTTTGAATAGCAACGAGTCGAATTAGTCTCTTTACAAAATATTATAGAAAACACAGTCTGAATTGGATTTTTTATACGAACAAATTTTACATGCGAGGAAACAATTGGCAAATGAAATGCAAAGATGTTCTGATATTTCAAAATGTTAGTTATTTTTATTTAAATAATGTAAATATGATTATTTTTATAGATTAGGCTAGGCAAATAAAATTTTTAGATTAAAGTTGATAATAAATTAACATGTAGCAATCCATATAAGTTTCTTATTATTCTAGTGGTTTATTTGCTTTCAATGTGAAAAAATACAAGAAGATGGAATGTGAAGTATATTACGATTATTGCAATGAATATCATCAACAGTTTTAAATAAGAAGAAGCGTGGGTAAGGATGTTAAATTTAAGTAACAAAAGATCACAAAAAATTATGTAACAAATTCACATTTTTCGATTTATTATAATAAAGTTTATTAAATGAGATCACATAATAAAAATTTTACTATAAAAAAATCCTGTATTTTCATAAATCTGAAATGGCTGGGTCAGTCACGAGAATCTAAAAATCTACTTTGACCAGCCTTAATATGAAATGTTACTTACAAATTGTTTTAATTTTAATAACAACTATTAAATAAATAAATATATATATTTTGAAGATACACGAAATGAATTTCTAGAAATCTAATTTTCTTGTAAATTAATTAATTAATTGCAAAATTACTTAATATGGTTTATATTAATAATTAAACTTGCTTTCTTAAAGTTCAAATTCAGTAGAAATTTATGAATATAATTCTTATGTTCTTTAATGTTAACTTATCATATGATTACTGAGTTTACTATAGTATTTGTCTTCGGCTAATAATACTATTTGCACTTTCAGTTAAAGATTGATTTTGATAATTGGTCGATAATTATGTATCAAACGTTCTAATAATTAAACGTTGTTAACTATTATATTATTTAACATTATAAATTTACGATTAATGAAAGATAGATAGTCTTTGATACATGAACTATTGTTAAAATATTCTCATATTTTAAAATCATTAGCAAGTAATACCTTAAATAAAATATTTTAAATTAATTTTGCAGTAGATAACAAGCAAAACGTAAGTCAAATTATAAAGATAAGTTAAATTTTTTGTTTAATATTCAATGAATATTTAGTCGATAATTAGGTTCGAATATAAATTGAAAACCAAATTCGTTTAATTTTTTAAATTACTTGCTGATAATGTATGATTGTGACGTTGCATTAAATCTAATTGTATATTAAAGCAACTATCTTGAAAATTAATGTTAGATATGTGTATCGTGATCAGATGAATATCGTTACTTATAGAATTATAATACAAATTATAATTTATCTTTTACGTTTACATTTTACTTGATATCTTAATGTATATCAAACAATAACTTTAAATAATTTTATTTAAAGGTATAGCATTTGTTTATAATGCATATTAGGTTGAGTTTAATTTAACTTTAATAAAGTGTTCAGTGTTACACCAGAAATTGATATGCAAAAGTTATATAAAAGAATATAGGTTTGTTAATTTTAGCGAAAATTTCAATTTTGCTTTGACTACTTCATTTGAGAGTGAACAAAGATGGGCTCTGACCATGTCTTTGAATACAAATATCCATGATTTTTTTTAAAGCGTTCATTGTAGTAAGTAATAATGTCAAAATAAATTTGTTATAAATAGTATTGGGTAAAATTTTAATTTTTTACTTTTTAAAACAAATATATCTTCAACCGATTATTGGCTGATTTATCAACTGAAGTCGCGTGATCATGTTGAACAATTTAAACGATTTTTCTAATAGTCTCGTAACATCAAACAAAAATAGGTCCTGATGAGATAAAAATTAAAATAAATACTTGATAAAATTTGAATAAATAAAATTACCAAAGGTAACAAAGTAAATATGGTTAAAAAACAAGAAAAAATAATCCATACATTGAAAACGTTATGATTTTCGATTATTCATAATTTTAATTCAGAAAATAATTATGCAAATTTATTTTTCGGATTTTATGGTGTTTTATTGTTATTAAGCCAACAATATACACAGTGAAATTCGATAAACCGGATCCATCGGTTCCAATAAAAATATCCGGTTTATCGGGATATCCGGTATAGCGAAAATTTTTTTTTGATATACTAAAAATCCATTATACTGAATTGTCAAGAATATTTCACATTAAAATTGACAAACTACACTATATTTTAACTTTCCATCTTAATTATTATGTGATAAAGATCATGAAAATGAATATAAAATATTTTTAATTGAATATAATTATGTCAATAACTTCAGCCGGAAATTAAGATTTTTATAGTTCTGGGAAAAGTTAAGATTTACCAAATCACGTTACTTCAATTTTATTGGTTCTTGATCACGTGCTCTGATTAATCGAATCATTTTTACTATAGCTGGTTGGAAAATTGATCCGTTATAGCGAATATCGAGCTTTTACTAGTAAACTCCGGTATATCGAAACTATTTTAATATACGTGATTTGGTTCCAGCAAAAAAGTTCGTTTTAAGCCCAAATCCGGTTTATCGAAGATCCGGTTTATCGAATTTCAAACATTATTACTGTTTACTGTTACTGTATTCGCTATACTATTTAAGTATTTCGTTATACTGTTTTTTTATTTCGTTATATTGTTTCTGTATACCGTCTTACTGTAATGTTTTAATGGAACAGAAGTTCTTTATATATCAAAAAAAAATATCCGTATTTTTTTTTACAATTTTTATGTTTCTAGTCTAGCCTATTTAAAAAAATTAAAATCGGTTTGTATAATATAATAAAAAGATATTGTAAAAAAAAGGATCTATAACAGCGTAGCTGATTAACGCCTTTTTACTAAATCAAAAAAAATATATATAAATTTAAGCTTAACTTTTTAGGGGTAGACGAGGCGCGATTGACCACTAATTTGATTGATTAAATTAAAAGACAAAACAATTAATAATCCAAAACAATGTTAAAAAAAAAAATTCGCAACTTATCTTCACTTGAACAATCCAATCGAAATCCGAATTTAAACCCAATAAAAAAAAAATAAATAAAAATAAGATTAGTAATCAGATACAATGCAAAAAAAAACCTTACCTTTACCCATGATGGACTGATCAAACCAGTCGAAATCATCTGAATTGGACTAAAAAAAGAGAAAAAGAGAAAAAAAAAATAACAAATTTAGTAATTATTAATGCAAAAAAAAATAAAAAAAAAGGACAATACAAAAAAAAGAGAAAAAATCACCTTTATCGTGACAGACTGACTAATCAGACGGAACCTGATCAAGAGCTAGAAAAAAAAAGAATAAGAAAAAAAGAGTTAAAACAATCGTAAAAAAAGAAATAAATAAATAATCCGCACTCACCTTTGCCATGATGGACCGACCGATTAGACGAAACCTGATCAAGAGCTAGAAAAAAAAGAATAAAAATAATTAATAAATGAGTTAAAACAATCAGAAAAAAAAGAAAATAAAAAAAACCTGCATTCACCTTTGCCACGATAGACTGATCAGACGATAAGTTTTTATACTAATTGAAAGTTTATTTTCATAAATACAAATTGAATTTAATTAGAATATGTATTTACTTTTATTATTATTTTAATAAACTTTACTAATATATTTAATTCTTTTATATCTAAATGCAAATTGTTATTTTTAAAATTTTTAGTTTCAATCTAAATATAATTATATTAATAATTTATATTTAGGGATGGAACCCGATCAAGAGCTAAAAAAAAAAATAATAAAAAAAAAACAAAGAGTTAAAAACAATCAAAAAAAAAGAAAATAAAAAAAAATCCAGCATTTACCTTGCCGAGATGGACTGATCGGACGGAACCTAATCAAGAGCTAAAAAAATAAAAAAGAAAAAATTTAATAAAAAGAGTTAAAACAATGTAGGAAAAAAAAATAATAAAAAATCCTGTCACCTACCTAAGCCACGACGGACTGAACTGAAAATATCACCCTATAGGAAAGAAGAGAATAAACAATTAAAAAAAAATAAAAAATAAAAAAAAATATAAAGAAGGCTTTAAATGTTGTTGAAAAAAAATATAATTTTCAAAAAAAAAAAATGCCTTATGTATTTTCTGCTATAGGATACGTTACTGAAGCGAATACTATTTCTGCTAGTAGTTCTAACTTTACTTTCATTACAAATGGAATAATTGCATATAAAAGACCTGTAAATAACAATCCTATATTTATTAGTTTTACTTTGTTTGACAAACAAATGGATTCAGGTTGTATATATTTTATTAATGGAAAATTTGTATGGAATAAAAAGCCAAACAATGGTCCTCAAGAACTTTAAGTAAAAATATTTTTATTTTAATTTATCGTTTTTACTTTTTTTTTTAATGAACATAATAACTAAAAAAATTTTTCTTTAAATTCAAAGTTCAATATAATAACATCATATCAAATTAATATTGATATTAATAATAAACCAGAGCAAGAAGTTTTTGTATCATTACAATGCAATGTACTATCAGCCCCAGTTGTTGAAGACAATAATATCATGTTCAAATTGCAAGCATTAGAATTTAATGGAAAAAATCGTACAGAAATTCCAATAACATGTGTTTATTCTACACAAAATTCAAGAATAATGAACAAATTACAAAAAGGAAATAAAATTAATATCATAGGAAACTTGATCAAAAATGATGAAGAAGTTATTGTTTTAGATAACTATATTGTATATGTTAATAATGCAATTAATTTCTCATCTATGGAAAAAAAGGATCTCAGCAAAATTCTATGGTTAAATTTGTCCAGTCTTAAAAAGATAACTCATAAAAATCAGTTACAAATAAGTAATGATTTATCTGATTTATTAATGATTGTAAAGAAGAAAAAACTAATGAAATAGAAGTTATTTCTAATAATAATACTGAAGTTATGACTTTTTTTATCCATTATTTTATTATTAAACTTATTATATTTAATTTCAATTAATCTTTCTTTTATAAAAGAACCATTTTTTCAAAACTAAACAAGAGAAAATATAACTAAAAATCTAAAATAAATATACTTAATAGCAAAGACAAGCTATCAAAAAGAATTCGAAACAAAATATCTGATTTAGCAAATGACTTTTTTGATAATAAAAGTGACGAAAATTAAATAGTTTAACTGTATAATTTAGAAATTAGAAATATTTTAAATAATAATGATTTAAATTAGAATTTTTTTTTTATTATATAAAATAAAATTTCAACAACTATTTTAATTATTTAAAGTTAAAAATAAACAATATACATAAATGTAAATTATTTATTCTGTAAACAATATCAACAACTATTTTAATTATTTAAAATTAAAAATAAACAATATATATAAACTGTAAATTGTTTATTTTACAAATAATTAATATATTGATAATACAATAAATATATTACAAATATTTTAATATTATAAATACTTATTATAAATATTTAATGATATATAATAAAGTAATATTAAATAAATATGAATAATATAACAAAATAATAATATTTTTAAAAATTATATATAAATAATTAATACCTCTTTAAAAATTAATATTCATTTTAAACTAAAAAAAAAATTTTACAAGAATCTTTTAAAAATTTATCAAATATGAATAATTTAAACTTTAATGTTTATATATTAAATAATTATAACCTTGAAGATTATGAATCAATATTACAATTTGATAATAACTCAAGCAATTTACAATCACTTAATATTTCTGAATAAGTAAATATTCAACAACCTTTTTTCAATATTACAATACTATGGAAACTATTAAAAAAACTTAAACATTTACATGAAACATTTTAACAAACTATATTAAAACAGTTTCCATGTCTTTCATATTCAAATTGTGGATATTTACCATATTCTAACAAGGCTAAATAGATACCATATAGAGAAAATATTTTATATACTTTTAAAAAAGCATTTCTAAGATTAAAACTTCTATTATATTCACATTCTTCTATACGTATTGCTATTTGTAAATATAAGCAATTCCATTAAGTAAATGCAAATACTTATCACCTATTTATCTTTATTCTTTAATAAGTAGAACACTAGGAGTAAATCCTTTAAGTGAATATTGTAATATTATAGGAACAATGAATTATTCTAAAAATATTAGATCTTTTACTTTATATTATAGAATGTTAGAAGCATTCTTGAATAAAATGATACTATTACTGATAAAAATTATTGGTTTCATCCTACTCTTATTCAAGAATCAAATTGGTTAAAAAATAATAATCCTTATTTAAAATCATTTAAAATAAATCTTAAAAAATAAGAGTAAAACTATAATACATTATTACTAATAATAACTTATTTATTAGAAGAAAAAAATATTTTTACAGTAAAACTAGGTAAAATTATAGTATCTAATAATAATTTTGATATAGAAATACATGATGAAGATGCAAATTTTAATCAGCTTATGGCAGGATTTGTTAGAACAGATAATAATTTATTACTTTCTATATTATTTAATGATTCTAACTTAAAAGCATTATTATTTCTGATTTATATCCAAATGGTAAAAGAACATATTAAGATTTGGTAAATCAAAGTTTAGCTTTAAATGAAAGATTTAATCTTATGGAAAATATATTAAAGAATGAATTAAAGGAAAAGATCTAAGATTTAGATTATATTATACATAGCCTATATGATCTTATTTACAATTAGAAAAATATTGTAATCATTAAAATAATCAAATAATCTTTTAATAAAATCAAATATCTCAATTGTATAGTTTTATATGTGTTATTAATTTAATTCAAAAAAACCCTTATACTGACAAACTAATAATTAATAAACAAATTATTATTATATTACCAACTTTTATTAGAACAGAAGACTTATATTTTCATAAAAAAGAATATTATATCAATGCAATAATAAATAATATTGATCTACCTCAATTATTTATAATATTAATGATGAATGAAAGCAGATAAAAACATTTAAAAAATATTTATCAAAAACTGATAATCATGATATCTTATCAACTAATAGGCCATTTCATTATATACATCATTTTATATACTGCTTAAAAAGTATGAAAAATAATCTTTGAAAACATTCAGAATTAATAAACTGAAAAATTATATTACATTTCTTGAATGTGTTGAATTTTAAAATCATGATGTAGCTTATATTCATGGATGCTTATGAACAATAAAATCTATTAGTAATATGATATATGATAATATTATAAAAGCAGATTTACCAAATCTATAAACAAAAACAGAATTATATATTCTTGTAAAGTTTCATCAAATTCATACATGTAATTCAAAATGTGGTGAATCGATTGCTTCAGAAGGAACATGCAAGAAAAGTTTTACATGATCATATTCAGAATACACATGAAGATACAAATAATTCAGATTTGTTTATAAATGTAAAAAAAAATAAGATAGATGGATTATACTATATCATGCACTAACACATTATACTTGAAATGTACATATGAATTTACAATATGTAACAACAAAAGGATTTGCAAGATATATGACTAAATATATTGCAAAAGAAAACCTATCCATATTTTTAATATTCAAGAAAGTGATAAATATAGATAACATGCTCAAAATCGTAGATTAAGAACAATGAAATTAATGTTTTTAATTTTTAGAGAAACTATTTGTAATTCTTTTATTAAACTTTAATACTTAATTATAAATCCTCTAAGTATAAGATAAAAATCAATACTTCCAATTTTATTATTAATGAATTTAAAGAAAATAATACACCATTTTACTCAGACACAATAGAAAAATATTTCAATAGACCAAAACAAGATGAATTTGAATTATTATCATATCAAGAATATTTTGAAAACTATAATATTATACCTTCAAAAATAATAATTCTAAGAAGAGTATTTTAAGATGAAATTAAAAATTATATTATAAAAAGAAAAACTAAACTCATAATATGAAAAAGTTACTTTAGACTAATATATGGTGAATTATATTTTTATTAACAGCTATTATTAAGACTTAAACCTAGAAGTAAAGAAGAATTAAAGGAAAATTTTACAATATATTGAGAATATTTTCTAAATAGATTTTCAGAAATATATTAAAATGAGTGTATTATATATAAGAAAAAATATCAAGAAGAAACAGATAATTTTAATAACCAATTTTTTGAACTTACTCACATATTCTTATAAAATCTAATAAATTTAACAAATTCACAATTTAAAGAAATAATCCATAACCAATTAATGAAAATAAAAATTATACTATTAATAACAATATTAAATATAATGTTAATACTACCAGATGATCAATATTAATGCATTAAAAGAATAATAAAAACTCTAGGTTTATTATATAAAAAATATTATTCATACTTCTTTATAACTGGATCTTCTAAAACTGGAAAATCATGTTACTCATTATCTATTACAAAAATTTCAAAAAAAATGATCCTTATTTACTATTTGTACCAATTAGTAATGCTACATAAAATATTAGAAGTTATATAATAAATTCAGCCTTAATAATTTATACTAAAGAAGGTAGTTTTCAAACCTTAGCATTTAACGATAAATCATTCAAAGAAAATCTTAAAAAGATAAAAATTCTCATAATTGATGAAATATCAATAGTTTATCTGAATTATTTAGTTATCTTTTAAATATATTTTCTAAATTATATAATAATTCACAACCATTTGGAGGAATTAGTATCATAATCTTAGGAGATCTTTTTCAATTACTACCAGTAAATGGAGATTTTGTATTTTATTTACCTATATGGCAATTATTTTACCTATTTCTCTTAAGACAATCAAAAAGACAAGTGAATGATCTTTAATATTAGTTACTATTAAAAAATATTAGATTTGGAAACATTTCAGAATCAACATGGCAATTATTAAATAAAAATACCAAGAAAGCTTAAATAATTTATCATTAAAGATATATTAAATACAACTCATGTTGTAGGTTATAAGGAGACAGCTGAACAAATTAACATTCAAATTTGTAATACTTTACCAATTGAAAATGAAAAATATTTAATTTCATATTCAAAGGATATCATTAATGGAGAAATACAAGAACATGGAAGTTCAGAATACTAAATGAAATATAAAACAAACTTACCATCTTTTATAAGATTGCAAATAGAATGACAAGTAATGTTTCTTAACAATAAACATATTAGTAAGCAAATTTGTAATGGTACCATTGGTATTAATTATTACAGATATTAACAAAAATAGAGAAATAGTAAAAGTAGCATTTTGTATAAACAAAGGAATTATTGATATTGAAATAGAACAAGAAACTGCACATTTCAATATTAATGGAA